TAAATTCACACTAGCCTCCTCCCTCCCGAGCGCCTTTCCTCCACCTCCTCCCTTCAGCTGCCCTAGTGCCCTCTCCATAATTCTGGAAGCCTGCAGCAGGCTGGGAGTGGGGAACCCCAATCTACAGACTGCTTCCAAATAGAGTGAGCCCCTGCTGGCCTGCCCCATTGAGGGGCTGTGGGTCTCGTTTCTTTCTGGGGCTGTGAAAGCAAAAAAGTCGCTGGAAAACACCACAAATGTCTGCTGAACGCTTACCCTGGGCCAGAGTCCAGAGCAGAGATGGGCACCCCCTTCACTAGCCACTCAGGAGAGCCCCAGAGCACTAGAGCAAGGCAGTGGGGAGAGCCCCAGAGCTGCCTGGCCTCTGGACAAGGGCAGGTTTAGCGGCTGTATTTTGCAAACACTGGCCGGACTGGTTTAGGTCAAGACTGTGTCTGTGGCACTGTTACACTAATGGGTAATTCGATTTACACCCCAGCACAGCCTGGCAGAAGCCTGAGTACCGCTCAGCACTTTGGCTATCAGGAAAGGGCATTCTGTGGTTTTATGTATTTACTTTCAGACATATAAAAATGAGCTCTATTGCCTGGGCACAGGAACGACAGCCCATCAACATGATCCTACACCTCTTTTATCAGAGTCGCTCCCCAAAACACTAACCAGGCCAGGGGACCCCACACTGGGAACCCCCCGGTCACTTAAACCAGTGCCTGATAGCTCAGGAGTCTCACATATGACAGAAACATGTAAGGAAAGAGGCACTTTCTAAGGGGATGTCTACCTTGCAATCAGGAGGTGTGACTGCAGCATGCCTGGACATACAGTGGTACAAGAGCTCAGAGCTAGCTCCGGTAACAAACGCAGTGAAGCCATGGCTAGCGCCACCCACCCGTGATTCTGGGTATGTATTCCAGTGGACCCCGTGCTGCTGCTGCTGCCCTTCACTGCTGTTGTTCCTCAAGCCAACCCTTCAACTTCCCCTGGACTGGGGTGGTAGCCAGTGCAGATTATGGGGCAGAGATGGGAGATGTTGGGAAACCCTGCTGGAGACGAGATCTGGCACACTGCACCTTTCTACAATGGCTGTAACTCAGCACACAGCATTACTGTAATGCCACCTCTTCATGAAAAGGTTGTAATCTCCTTACTGAGTGCAGATGAGAAAAAGCTGCATTGGCCATTGCTGCTACCTCAGCATCCAGGAGCAGGCCTTGGGCTGCATCCCATGCAGCAAATGGCAGACATTCACCTGCCTCCAGCGCTGACAGAACCTTCCCTGCAGCATCTCAGTCTTGTCTGGATTGAACCCAGCTAGCCCTCAGCCAGACCTCAACCTGTTAGACACCAGGTAAGTCGTGCCATTGCCCCAACCAGCTCAGGAGAGGTGGAGACATGCAGTGAGCTGGGTTTCCTCCACATATGAAGACACTGCAGCCCATACTTAATTAACCGAGTAGCCCCATACATACTTTGAGCTGGAGAACAGGGCTCTGTGGAGCCGCCTGTAAGATTTTTGGGGCCAATGAGCAGGGCTGAGTGCTCTGGGCTCTCTTAGAAAGAAAGGAATGGAGCCACTCATGAGCAACCCCTGCGACAGCCCCACCACAACAACGCACAGCCAATAGTATGGAGGGCAGCTGGAAGATCTAAGCAAGCCACCCTGGAGGAGATCACGGGGACTGCATTCAGCCAATCTGGATTACGTGGTGAGACCCAGATCAAAAAGAAATGGTCACAAACCTCTGGCTAGGAGCAGGTGAAAACGGCATTCCTGGCCACTGATGCCACTTGTGATTCCAGGCACAGCCAGGATTCCAGAGGCTTCCCCAGCTGCAAACCGCTTAGACAAAGGATGAGTAAGTGCCATCAAAAACAGGGGCAGGAACCACCCAGTCCACTAGCATCACCCCCATGTTATTCAGCCTGGCATCAGACAGCTTGATCTTAGCCAGGCACCTACTGTGGCTTGGCACAAAACCGACAAAGATGCCCCTCCACACAGCTCTGCTGAGACAGAGAGCTGGGTATCTTTCACGGATGGATGACAACACTTGGCAATTTCCCCAGTGACCTCACATACATGTTCAACAGGAGGGTTGGCAAAACAGAACTGTGCAGATGAGCAGTTGCGTCAAACCTTCCCTTCTGCTCCCTCCCAGACAAACAAACAGAATCGTTCCAACAGGACTGCAGGGGATTAACAAACCTTGGAGGCTGCTCAACAGTCTTGGAGGCTGCTTGGACACCAGGCCATGGCCCAGGATTAGCAGCAGAACATCAACCAACAAGAGCAGCACAGTCACTGCACCAGACCCAAACTGAAAGAGACAAGGACTTCCGAGGAGTCCAGATGGTACCAGTTACCTTTGCCATAACCGCCTCTCTAAGCTTCCCCAGGAAGACAGACTCAGAGGCAGGGCAATAACTGGTGAGACTGCTAAGAGAGGGCTTCTAGAGTAGCATTCTCTGGGGCAGGTTCTGCTCAGTTACGCAGGTGCTTGCCCTGCACAGTCACGGAGACCATTTGTATCTATTATCCCATCTCCCCCTTGCTGTGCCATGTGTCACAGTCTCTCGCTGCCGTTGTTTTCTTTTCTCCTCTCTGTTATGTTCTTTCAATGTCTTCGCATTTTCCTTACACTCTCTCCCTAAACAGCACCTGAGCCCAGTAACATGAGCGTCTGCATGGAGTGTCAGCCCACGAGGGCATGCCTGACTTTGAGCTGGGGTGAGCCCAGCTCCAGGAGACATCTCTGTGCTAGCTCTAATGGAACTGGTGGGCCAAAGCCAGGATGCAGCCATGGCAGCACAAGTATGGAAGAGGCAGCCGCCCTGAGTCCGTAGCTGTCAAAGAGCCTAGGCCTCAGGGTGGCTGGCTGTCCTGCTCCTTGCGCCACTGCACCTCCTGTTTTCGTCGAGCTCGTGTGAATACGTCTCCTCGAGCTGGGACTCGCCCTCAGCTTGATGTGCAGACCCCTCATTCACAGGGGTGAGATCAAAAGAATCTGCCCCCTACTACTTAAAATGGCTTAAATCATCCTGGAGAACAGGTGCCCTGGCTCACTGCAGCCCAGAGAGATCAGGATTGGCACAAAGGGTGACAGCACCCAGAGCATGGCCAGTGAGCCTGTTCCCAATGCCACCACTATGCAGAGCAGTGAACTGGGACCCTGGCTGAGCTAAATACCCTTTGCAGAGCCCTCGGGCTGGGATGCTGGCGCTTCTACAGATAATAAGGTGGGGAGTGGGGGTGGGAAGGAAGCACTAACCACAGCCAATTATACCATGTGAAATAAGCAGGAAGTTACGCCCAGAGAGCCAAGAACCCCCTGCCCTCCGCCACCTGACAGCCCTATCTCATGGGAAATCTGAGAGGCAGACTCAGGGCAAGTCTACACTACAGCGCTACACTGGCGCAGCTGCATCGCTGCTGTAGCACGTCTGGTGAAGACGCGCTATGTCGACGGGAGAGTGCTCTCCTGTCAGCATAATTGCTCCACCTTGGTGAGAAGCGGAAGCTGTGTCAGCAGGAGAGTGTCTCCTGCCAACATAGCACCATTGTGGACAGTGCAAAACGTGCGTTGCTCGGGGGGCAGCTTTTTCACACCCCTGAGTGATGTAAGTTAGATTAACTTAGGCCGTAGTGTAGACCTGCCCTGAAAGAGGGAGAAGCCAGTGTAAAAAGCCAGGTGACACCCTACCGAGCTCCCAGAGACCCCACACCCCCAGGTAAGTGCATGGCACTCCTGGAGAAGGGTGGTCCTGGCAGACCACAAGAATGCTGTCTGCTGCTCTTGTCTCAAGCCCATTTGCTTCTTCATCTTGTCACTTCATTCTCTCCTGAATCTGGCTAGACTGCCCTGGCTTTAACCTCTGGCTGTCTGGCCTTGAAGCTCCCAGTGACGGTGCTTACAGGTCAGTTCACATGCCCTTTCAATACCTGCTCCCACTGTTCACATGCCCCTCCTTTGTGCTCTATTGGACAAGCTACATTTAAAGTCTCTTGTCCAAGGCATTGAGGACAAGGCCTTGTCCACGTCCCTGCAGCTGCTCGCTGGGCTGCTGCCTGAATACCACGGACTCATAACTGAGAGGCCTCTTTCCTTATTTCCAGCAGGACTTGCTGCCAGTCAAGCTGAGCTGTTTGAAAGGAGCATGGGAAACTCAGATGTGCTGGGTACAGAGACGAAGGAGGAATTTCCCAGCGCCAGGCCAAACGAGCAGTAACAGATGCCCCTTTCTCCACGACACTCCCACCCTGGGCCACGTTCTCTAGGGTTCCACCCCTGGGTAAGTGCTTCTGGCATTTCACGTACAGCACAAGCCTCTTCTGAGCAAAGCAAACCAAACAACAAAGCAACTTCTCTTGAGCAGCCAAAGATTTGCTGCTTCTGCTAACTGTCCTCCACTCCTCTTCCAGAGAGTGATGTGAGGGGAGATTGGGTGGATCAGGTGCCGAAAGATTTCCTAGTGGAGGGAATATGCCTCTGAGCAGGACCTCCTGCTCCCCTGGCCTGTCACCTGGTGATCTGCAGAGAGCTCTCTAGAGAACAGCTCTGAGTCTAAGAGCCCCCAGGGCTGTGCTACAGAAAGCTCCCAGTGAGCCTGGGGCTCAGAGGGGGCAGATGCAGGAAGAGGCAGAACTTTGGGTCAGGGTTTGTCCAGAAAGCTTTCCTAGCAGGGAGTAGGGAGGGGTCACCATGCCTTTCGCTAGTTGAATTCAATCCAGGAAGCCCTGCCCTGCCCTGCTCAAGTTGCCCTTTCTGGGAGGGGGAAGACAGCGCCCATCTCCTTGCTCCTGGGGGCCTGTCTCCAGCAGGCAAACACCTGATCCCCTCTGGCTGTATGGAAGCCAGGAAGCAGAGAGATCTCTGCTGGAAGAAGAAAGCGTCTCCCTGGCAGGCAGCAGAGCTCCAGAAGCTGGAAGCAAGCACACTGTAAAACAAACCAGCCCCCAGCCCCCAGCCAAGAAAGGGGAAAATCCTGTGTTTGGTACCTACCCAGAAATACATCATCATGTCGGCAGCGGGGATGCGCAGCACCAGAGAGGAGCAATCGGGTGAGCTGGCCTAGCAGCGCAATGAGAGGGTGTGGGGTTCCCCTTCCGCTCCCCGTGCAGCTGGCTGAGGCGCCCCGCACTGTGCTCCCTCGCAGTCTCTGTCCCCGGGATTTCTCCGGGCTTTGTGCTGGTAGGTGGCTTGGCAGCAGTGCCCTATCGGCTCGGGTCCCTCGCCGGCACAGCGCGGTCACTTGCCACAGGCCGCCATGCACGTCAGAGCTGGCCATCAGTGTCCATCGTGCTGGTGCTCAGCTGCTCGTGGTGCGAGGGTCGGAGAAAGGATTCCAACTTGGGCAGGGAAAAGGAGCGAGCCCCCAGATCCCAAGCACGAGTCACAGAGCGAGGAAGGGTGGGGGTGAGGGGAGCTGATTCGATATTAAAAACAGGGGGAGGGACCAAAAATAAATCCTCTTGGGTGTCCTTAGGAGAAAAAGGAAGAGAGAAAAAGCGAGCGAGGCTGGACCTGTTCCTCCTGCGGAGGTAGAGTACAGCTGGCTGGGAGTGCAGGGGCTGCTGGACTCAGGCTGGGAGCGCGAGGCCAATCAGAGGCGAGGAGCCAGGCTGAAGGACTGGGGGCCAAGTTGCCAGGTTTGTTGTGGGGGGCTGGATGGGCTGCCGGGGAAGGGAGGGGAACGTGTGGCGGGGAGAGCGAGCGCGTGCATGGCAGAGCTGGGAGTGTGGGCTCCTGCTCTGACACTCTGTGTAACGGATGTCCTGCCTCAGCATTTTTCAAGCTACCCTGTCAATAAGGGAATCGGCTGCTCTCACAATTAACCTGCGAGGTGCCAGCCAACTCTGACTGCGCTTGCTCCCTGGCAGGAGTGATTTTTCCTTTCCTTTTCCTCTCCTGTTCCTGGGTCAGGCTCAGCCAGCATCCCTGGCTGACAGCCTGAGCTAGGCCCAGCTCCTGGCTTCTCATGGGCCAGGATGGACTAGTGGCTGCCCCACCCCTGGCCAAGGGAGAGAGGTCACTGCAGGAGCACCCTGCCCTCCCATTCTCACGGCTACGGCCTCAGTCACTTCTGCACAAACCCCTTCCTCCGAGGCTGTTTAGGGAGTAAAAGTTCTTGGAATGATTATTATTGTCTGGCTTACGGTAGCACCTCGAGGCCCCCTTGTGCTGGGCGCTGCAGACAGTGAGCGAGTCCTTGTTCCGAAGCGCTTACAACCTAACTAGACCAGACAGACGTGGGGCAGGAGGCAGGAAGGAAAAGCAGGAGCAGCCTTGGTAGAGCCTGATCCCGGAGGCTGGGGGCACCTGAGATTAGTGAGCCTAAGGAAGGGAAGGGGCAACCCTTGAACAATGCTTTACTCTGTGATCTTAAACAGCAATAACGCCCCTGGGCAAACCGACGGGCTGAGTTCAAAGGGCTGCCCACGGCTACAGAGTCCAAGGCAGAGCTGGGAACCCATGCAAAGCATGCACCTGCCCCGGGCCTGTGCTGTGGGCAGCCCAGGTTATCCCTGCCGCTCGGACTCTGTCACTGCGCCTGCTCGCTCATTCACCTGCCCCGGGCCGGTGCTGTG